CACAGGATTGCGTGGTCACTGCTAGTATTCTATTATCATTTCAAGTCTCTCTACGGGGTAATCCGTCTTACTATCAAGCCGTCCGTTTCCATGCATCGTACAGAGTTCGGAAGTCATGACGGCTTGCCCATGTTATATTAGCCTCATTCCAATTGGTAAACGATATTAAATCACCGTGCGTCCCTTTGCTTGCTATTGTGGGTAGGGATTACAAGACAGACGCCCTGAAGAGTCGGAATTGAGAGGTATGGGACGGGTCGACGCTGCTTTGGCTTCCGAGATCGAGTTTCAAGGTGAGCCCCAGACGCTAGCAACGGAATTAAATGTTGACGCTGTGAGAGGCCAGCACGATGGGTCTGCACACCCAGGTAGGTATAATGGCTTCCATGTTTATCATTTGTTAAAAAAGCGCCAAACGAGGACCACTAGTCACACAGGTGATCGGACCGCAAGTTGCGAGACGCAGCATCGCTTCTTCTTCGAGACAGCTACAAGTTCAAGAACTAAAGCCCATCGAAGCCTGGGGAAGAGCTAGTACAGGCAGTGGGTGAGTGATGAGCAGACACGGGCGACGACCCGAGTATGGTGTCGGAAACGGTCGACAGGGCAGAATGAAAGGTGTGGGTTCGTGCACGCCCGTCTATTCACTCTCACGCTCACACTAGTCCTTTCCGGGCCAAAATCTGGGGTTGGTCATGCGCTCTGGTGAAATCGGCGACGCGAGTAAGGATTTTGTCTGCGGCTTTCGCCAAGCCCATCCTCCCCGGCCTCATCGCTGATTTGCATCGCTTACAGCCCACCTTTCTACGGCTTCAGCCCCTTGATTAGGAACGAACCGCTCTGGGCTTTGCGGCCACGCCTGCTGCCACCACCAGTTCTCTAGGTTGCGCTAATCAATGGCTCGCCTGAGGATACTGCCACATTCAGGGAGCGAGTCCTGAGACTCCTGGAGCTGGCGGCGCCTCGGAAGTGTTCAAACTTCACTCTCTCTTCGCCATGCCCCCGCCAAAACAAAGCAATTAGGCACAAACATATACAAATGAAAGTACCGCCAAGGCCGCGCCGCCGGTGGACCCCTTGATACCGTCAGAACCAATAGCTCCGAACTGAGCCTGTAATAGACTGCGGAACATACGTGTGCAATGTGCAGGCATGGCTTTCTTTTCCATCCCCGGTACCCACAGGAAGGCCCACCATTAACAGCGGACACTGAAGCGGCATCAATCGCACCGAAGAAACCGCACATGACCCTTCGAAGGACCCTGACAGCTTCAATGCTTTCTCCTTGGAGAGCCTTTCTGATGACAACGATAGAGAACCCATGTTTCTCTTGGGCTGCCATGATCGGTCTATTCGGCCTAATTACGTAGTGCGGTATACTGCGCGTTCGTAATGTCATCTCTCCAGTGCTTATCTTGCGGCTGAGAGACCACCTTCGCTTCAGTGACAACGGAATGGGCGCTCCCTCTTTGGTATTCCGCAGGTATTGACTGCGCGACGGCTCCCATGGCCATAGTGAAATAGAGTGATAAGTGCACGCTTCGGAACTTATCTGCGCTAAGTTACGCCCTTATGTCGATCTTCTTGTTATAGAGGGCGATCCATCTTCTTCAACTCTGAACATCTTCAATCTGAAAAGGCTTATATGGCAATGCTTGGAGTTTATGCGGTTTATGATTTAAATGATGAGGCTAAGGAGTATGTGGGAGCTTAGCCTTCAGAGAGTTACCACCCGGAGAAGGCTCACTGGACATCTTGCGAGCCATCTTCATGCGAGCTCAATATGAGGCTGGGAAGCGAAAGTCAAGTTTTCGAGAGTTCTTCGATTGACGTAGACGGCTGCCAAACCCTCGGCCTCTAATCGTCTCTGGAAGAGATCTTCCTTGGGCCTGTCTTGCTGCTGCAGAGAGGTGGTCCATCAATCGCCACAGGATAATCAACGTCACCCATCAGGGTCGCTCGGCTTTCCCTTGCCACGCTTAAGTCATCGTGGCATAACATGTATTGTAGGTTTGCATTTCAAAGTTCGCCCAGCTCGCGAAATTGACCGATGATGCAATATCTAGAAGATACTAAACTTCACATTCGCAAACCGATTGCTGCGTCGGGTGGTCGGCTAACTGAAAAGAGATGCCGACGATTGACGGCAATTGACGCCCGCGGGAAGACCAAACTGCAATTGATGCTGCCGACCGGCACGCCGGGAACCGGAATAGCTTGAGCAGGAGCTGCAGATGTAGTCTGATGACGGACAGCTGCTTGAGGTGTGGCTGCAGCGAGAAAGTACTGTAGACGCCGGCCCCAGTCGCAACCACGCTTTGCTGTCTTGAGGCACAACCATCTATCCCACCTCAACCGCTGCGCATACAATATCCCTCGCCCCATTTACTCAATCAGATTGCCTACGGGGCTTTATTGACATTGAGTTCTTTTTAGCACTTTTCTCTGCTTTAGGACCTCTCAGACCGCCATGTGGTAAGCTGCGAGGAGATCCCCATGCACTAACAGCCTTCGATGGTTGGCCAATCAACGATGTTGTTTTCAGTTTGCTGAACCACGCATCCATTGATATCAAAGGGAGTGACTTCGCCACATTACTGATTGGCTGATTAACCGAAGGCAGTTACTGGCGGTGCATCGATAAGCTTTGTAAAATCAACTTTCTCAGTTGCACGAGCATGAAACATTGTACAGCTTGATGGTCCTGCGGCCCGAACGGTGAATGTTGCTTGAATCGTTCCCTGTCTCAAGCAATAAATTTAAATAGCATTAGGTATGTCTATGCAGTACCAGCTAACCTCACCTTCCAAGTATTAGGCGGCACTACAACAGTATAACATCAACACAGCGCGATTTATGTACCTCTGGGAATTTGAAGGGCGTCTAGTCCAACGTCCGACTCGGCTTCAACAACTATCACGTTCTAGCGTCTTAGTAGCCTGCGCCTGCTCAAGCCTCAACTCTCTGGCGGGCGCTTTTCTCTTCCCACACTTGTCCTCTTTCTCCAACAGACACCTCTCTCCATCATTGTGGGTGGAGGCGTAGTTTGACTTCGCGTATCTCACCCCGAGATTTCCCCACGGAGAAATTCCGTCCTTGTGTCTATTTATTGCTTTCGGCACTGCCCTTTGCTGGAGGTGTCTCGGCTTAAGGGTGGTGTCACCAGAGCACCAGGCTCCAGCCTAGCCATGCAGTCTTCGGTGTTCAATATTCCGCGGCCGCTTCAATTGTTGACTTCGCTTCCACGTTGTTGCCTCTGAACGGTTCGTCCGAATCCACTTTCATGGCACATTTGCCGTCCGGACAGATGGGTAGAACAATTGTATTATAAGCATCATGGCGAGAAGCAGTCGCGACTCGCCAGCTATATAAGCTCTAACCTCAGGTCGATAAGCGTCATCCTATCGCTTAACCATGGAAGATGTAAAAGGTCCAACGAAGGGTCCAACGATCTTATGGACTATCAGTTATATCCGGCGAAAAGAGCCATCGAACCCAGGAATATTCAAAGTCTTTTACTGGCCATGAAAATTGTGTTTTTCAGCTTTGTTTTGATATGACGTTTTTCTCCCGCCGGTCTCCCGCTCTCTAGAACCCTTCTAGAAAGCTGAGAGCCGATCTGCTATTCTCGGAGCGAGGATTGGCGGTGACACGACCACAGCTCAACCACGCAACACTATGCCCCACAGTTCTCAAGGAATTTGTATGGGGAAAAACGCGGCTCATGGCGGCCTCCGAATACTGCCGCGTCTTGTGAGACGCTTTCTCCACAGATGGAGCTGCATCAAGGTTTTAAGGGTGCGACTACGACGGCTATATTGTCTAATGAGCACCGACGGATCCGGTTGCCTCTCACATCTTGATTTGTAAGCTATTGTACTAACGGTCCGCATCACCAATGACTATCGCTTTGCATAGAAATGAGCGCAGCGAAGCCTACGACTAGAGCTCTACTACTGACTACCTTTACAGGCGGATTGTTTACTTAGGGTCTGTTCCAGGAAGTATCCTAGAATTTGCATTTCTCTTTCTCTGCAAGATGTAGTATTATTATCCTTATACAACACTATGCACATTACTATAAAATATATCTACGCAGGGCCTAGACGGACCTCTCGTAGAGTTCCGTTCAGGTACACCAAAGTAGTTCTGCATATCTCTGATGGCTGTGAAATGTACCATAGCAATATATTGCACTCATGTACCCAAGACTCGCTAATCTTCCTCGTTGTCCCACTAGTTCCCATAACGTCATCATACTGCCTGCTCTATGATCATTCCACTTTTCCGCCGCACCTACCGTTCCAAAGCTGGGCTCCACTGAGCCCTGCTATATTTGCTTATAAAATTAAAAATTAAATATTTTTTCATCAAATAAAATCTGGCCAATTGGCCCAATGGCAAGGCGCTTGACTACGACAACTCAGGATTTAAATCAAACCTGTAAAGTTGGAATCAAGAGATTGCAGGTTCGATCCCTGCATTGGTCAATATATTTTTTTTTAAATAACTCTGTTAGTGTTGTTTGTTGTTGCTTTGCATTCGTCCTGGCATTTTTCAATTTTTCAGTGGTGGTGGTTCGTGCGTCGGCATCGAACATTGCCAGTCTACGGGCTGCAGCTTCGTAAATAAACCAGAAATGCAGTATTATCTTCTGAAGAGGATTAGTGTCAGGAGGCTCTTTTTTTCTAAAGCGCCCTCTCAACTTCGGAATACTTAGAAGAAAGGACGGTCATGAATGTGTCAATCTCTAGATGCCTGTAGCACAGTCTACAGATATATTCATAGAACAACTTTTCGTAATCAACAAACAACCTAACTGAGGAGTATCTCATTAGTTATGATGCCTTGTTCAAGCACAAACTTATCTTGATGCATGATTATTTAACCTATTACCTCACCGCGGATAAAGGCCATAGCTTGCGTGAATACCTCATTACGTTTTATTGAAATTATAAATTAATATATTTTAATTTTTCCTATCAGTTAATAGAATAGCTTCTTCCTTGGTCTAGTGGTCATGATTTCCGCTTGTCAATCGTGTATTCGGTAACAAGCGCGGGAGACCGGGGTTCGATTCCCCGAGGGAGAGTAATTTATAAGTACATTTTTTTTTTCTTTGATGCTGGAGTTAAAAAAGTCAACGCGAAAGCACTGTGAGTTTTTCTCTTTTAGGATTTTGAAGGTAAGGAGTACATAAAAACGTTATAGTTTTTTTTATGCGCTTTGAAAGATGATATCGTAACCTTTTTTTTTCAGAAATGAGAGGGGTGTTTGAACGCGAGGAATCGTGCAGAGTTGAAATCTCAGGCGAGGCCGGTGAGTTCCTCACCCTACCGCCACTTGCCATTCATCGTCAACACCCTAACATCCATTTATTATATCCGAAGGACTTCATGGTTGAGTAGAAGAGGTGAGACTATCGATCTGCGATGGCTTAATTTGCTCAAAGAGAGCATAATAACTGAGTGACGCTGTCATGGAGCTCAAATATAATCATCTAAATGTTTGCTTGATATGAATTTTGTTCAGATTCTTCTATTGCCTAATAGATCAGCATGCTGTACCGATATGTTGGTTATGCGACATTGGCCTACAGGAATTTTTGCCCATTTGCCCAACAATACCCATCCTGTTAGGTTACCAAGTCACAATTGACCATTTCTATACCGTACTCAGTGGCTGGTCCAATCCATTCCCCTAACAGGCACCCGGTATTACATCAGGTTCTGGGAGAAGTCACAGGTAAGCGGAAGTTACTCTATATAGGTATACGAACTGTATTACATACGCTATCTCCGTCCAGAATTCTATATTTGAGTCCCCAGATTGCTCCCTTCGCTTTATATGACTTGAACTGGCGAAAGTGCCCGTTTATTCGTTCCTAAAGTCATACCGGAAATATAATCTTTTATCTGACGCACTCAATGCTCATTTACCGATATTCTGATAATGGGGATGAGTCTCAGCTTAGTGACTTTCTCTAGTTGACTTCCGCAACCTGTATACTATAAGCGATCACGAATGAGATGTCAATTGTCATGCGCTCCTTTAAGCACTTACAAGTATCCGAATTCTCCTCATCTTCAGTGTAGTAGGCTCGAGTATGCCATTACTGAATATACCACAATCCCCATTCTCTTCCAACCTCCGACCACGCGGCCCCCTTCATCCCCCTTTCATCATCACACCGTCCCCCTTTCCCAAAAAACCCTCCCAGCGCTGGTGATGAGTCGCGGTGAGAGAGTCCTTACAACTTCAGCTGAAAACCCCGCAAGTATGGACACCGCTCTAAATAGAGACTACTATTGTGAGGACCTGGAGGTATAAACCTACTCTCCTTCACTCCACTTTTTAGACTCTTTTACTTGGCTATATACCGCCTTCGCAACTTTTCTCATCGACACTCCACAACGCTCTTCTCACAACGCTTTTCTTTGTTGAGATTTTCTCGCAGCGGTTTCTTCCGTGAGGCACCGAATTCTACATAGTCCGTTAAGTCGCAACAATATCCATGGCTTCCCCAAAAAAGACTCTTAATCCAGAGGAGAGTCTTCCCGAGCCAAAGAGGCACCGCCGCGTCGGCTCCGCCGACAGTGCCACCAGCATCGAGAACCCTAAGCGGGATTCCCTTTCTCCCACTAAGCACCGTCGCACCGTCTCCACTGGCAATACAGCATACACCGAAAATTCTAAGGCCAACTCTACCTCTCCCGGTAAACACGCCCGCGACGTCTCTACCGACAGCGTTAGGTACACTGAGAAGCCAAACCACGGTAGCCCGACCAAGAAAGCCAAAGTCAAATCCGTCGTCACTAGCACCCAAATCGAAAACCTTAGAACCGAACTTGCAGAATTCCACCTCCACGACGAATACGTCGATACCAATCATGCCGCTGAAACTCTCGACGAGGACGACATCGATGCCGGGTCTGACGCCGAATCCGTATTCGCACCTAGTTCCGTTTCCGGTTCTGGGGCTGGAGACGAGTTCGATGAGCATGAACTTGGAATCGGCGAGTGCTGGGCTTGTGGATCTGAGCTGACATTTACCGGAGTCGGAGCAAGTGGGTACGAATGCGTGGACTGCTGCATGCCGAACTAAGTTAACGCTAAGCATACATAGTGGTGGATACACTTAAAGAAACCATAAGAGGTCATAGAAGAGACATCAAATGAGGACTCAGCATAGAATGTTGAGCAACTGATGACTGCAGAAGGCATACGACAGTCGTGAGAAGAAAGATGATATGGGACTTATGATAGTGGTTTGCGATATGTCACTGACGGCGAGATATATGTGGCAAAAGCTATGGCATTTCGGAGGGCGATACCCCTTTTCTTTCTTATTTCCTTTAATCGCAGCACTTTCACAGATGTCGCATACCCTTTGCCTACCCTTTTTCTTTTTTTGCTTATCCTTTGGCATCCGCTTTTCTTAATTCCTTCTTACTATCAACATGGCATCACTGGCGTAGGCACGAGTAATATAGAGCTGGGACAATGCTTTCCTTAGGTTTAATGATATAGTCGATTATCAGGCATTACATGCTCTCTATTCCCTATTTTAAAATAAAAACTAAGTTCCTTTAGGTATGCTAAGCACTATATGAGAGCCTGAGATTTCTGAGATTTAGGTCTTCTTAATACCTAAATATACGTTCTGCCCCAACTATATCCAGCCCCGTGCAAATCTTCTTTTAAAGACAGGCACTACAGAGCTTCCGAAGATGTTGAAGAAGAAGGGAACGGCAAGAGCAACTGCGCAATGGCTCCTAAAAACAAACATTCTGGAACACTTCCAGGTTGCAAGGGCTATTGCAAAAGAGAATACACGGGACTGGGCCCCCTTCCAACTAACCCAGGCCGTGTCATAATAACTTCTCTGTTGCCTGAGCGGGCAGCACTGGCAGATAGGGAACAATAACTAAGTAGCTGGTGAAATAACTCACCATAGCTATATTAGAATGGTCTAGGTTGATGAAAAGGCAAAGGTTTTGGACGTTGGGGGGGGGGACTCCTCTAGTGTCGGGTTTACTTTGCTCTACACATTGATATTACGTATTCATAGGCCCGATTGGGGACCAGGTAGCACGTTAAATTGAATTATAATAATAATAATACCTAAATATAGGAATAAATAACAAGCAGACAGATCAGCAATTGCCCTGTCTAAAACCAATTAGCTTCGAGCAAGCCAAACAAACCCCTCCGAAAGGTACTTGGAGCGTACAAGAGAACTCCTATGGCAGTAATAGAGAAGGAGAGTAAATCGCCGCCAATCGACCTGTATCTGGAGACGTTGGCAATGCAGAGGGCAGCAGTGACTGTAAACCATTCGGCCACCAAGGAGATCCAGGAGAACATTGAGAATATTTGGATAGCCGCCAGGCGAATTGAGGAGGGTCCGCCGAAGGGGCCGTTCTGCCTGTCGGATTGGAAAATCCTGTCCTGGATTTGATTAAAAATGCCCCCGGGCATGTGAAGTAATTGAAAGACATGAGGTTATAGAAAGAGCAGGCCACGAATCAAGGCAAGGAAGAACGGCCAGTACCACCACAAGTATATATTCATTGACAAAGGCATTCATGGCTTTATAGAATAAGAAGTGGTAGTAGGAAGCGGATAAAGCTGGCTGAGCTGCAGCCACCTGGGCAGAAGGATGGGCAAGCCAACCGCCCCACCTCAATAACGGCCCCTTAATTATAAAGCAGCTGTAGTATTCATACTCGATGCAGAAGTCGCTGAATTAAACGACTGGCTGGCAGGGGTTGAAATTCAAGGAATTACTACTGGCTGCCCATGTAGGACTGGGCGGTAAACACTCTGACATGCCCTGGCATTCTTCTTTTAAGTCCGAAGCCTCAGGAAAGATAATAGCTTCTTCTTAAAAGAGATACCTTTCTAATTTTAAGTTTTAGAAAAAGGAGTAACTTCCCTTTTTAAGAGAGAGGAAAAAAGGTTAGGGAAGCTGTTTCACACTGTTATTTGTCTTCCCTTTCCTTATACCCCTTGAAAGTAATCTCAGACTTCTAGCAACGTCGGTAGTTAGTGCTTATTTCCTGTGATAAAACACTTCTATACATGCAGGATTTGGAGTGTCAGTAAAACAGTAGGTGAAAGTATGGCCCTTGAGTGTGGTTGCACGTTAAATGCAGAAAGTTAGCATAGTAAGTAAAAGCTCATTATGATTTAGCCGCTTCAACAAAAACAAAGCATACTTAACATTGTAGTTTTATTTCCCCCCAGTAGGATAGAACCCATGTTCACTAACATAGTATAATAATCCAAGATACCCACGCTTCTCAACACTAGTTTTTCTTCACTTCCATCTGAAACAATCACCGTACCTTACTAAACAGTTCCTTGTTCTTAATGGCTTCCCACAACGGCCTTACATTTCACTTCGGCCTTCCCAAAGTTTTCCGCACCTCTCGCAACACTGTCGCTTTTATTTCTGCCTCTTCCCCGGCGCACTGGCGTACTAGCACTGGGAGACATTAACCGTTATTATTTCTAGAAGAATCGTGGATGGGGGATGTGTGCCACGCCTAGAAGAAGTATCTAGCCTCCTAGCTCTTTGGCTAGCTTGTAGGGAGAGGATATCTTGGATGACGAAGAGATCGTAGCGGGCGGTTGTTTCGCGAGTCGGGGGATGATACAGCTGAAGATGTGTCTATAGATGCGGAAGAACTCGCAGAGGGCACTCGCCAAAGCTCTAATAACACTACTAGAACCGCCTGTCACGCTCGAGGTTGCGTACTTGTCGTAGAACAGATTCCTTAGGGCCACAGATTTGAGAGATAGAATTAGCGAGTATAGGCTCGTGGAGGATGTAGTGGAGAACGCCGTCCTTACGCGAGAGACTCTCAAAGAGGATATGCTCTCTAAAGGCTTGCTCCTCAAAACAAGACCCCAATCCAAAACTTTCTCGAAGGCGCAGTTATGTCGTCTCCATCGCCTCCGTTCGTCTTCGTCAGGAAATCTTCTCTATCGATATTATCATCTGCAGTCGCGGGTGGGCGCGGGTAGTGCGATTTAACTTGCCGGTTCCCGAGTTTAGGGGTGCGGAGGGAGAGGATGCAGGAATGG